GCTCGGGGACCCTCCTCCTGGGCCGGTGGCAGGGCCTCGCCACCCTCCACCCCTGGGCCCTGCCCTGATGCGGGGGGTCCTTTTCTGGGAGGTGCGGTTTGTCCCAGAGGTGCCCTGGATCGGGGCTGGGTCTCCTGGGGGGTGAGGCCCCACCCCGCCCTGTGCTGGGGTTCATGTGGGGAAACATTTTCAGGGTCAGGGTGTGGGTGGCGGCTTGTCTATCTTCCACCCGTGATGGGTGGCCTCTCGCGCCCCCTATTGCTGGCCCTGAGCAAAGCCACCCCCTTTCCTGCCAGCCCCCCTTTCCTGCCAACCCCCCTCCCGCCGGCTAATGCCATGGGGGTGCAGACACTGGCAGGTGGGTGGCGGAGCCCCAGGCTGGGGGCCGAGCCTAGACTGTGATCCCAGCTCCGTCCGAGCGAGGCTCTCCCACCCGCTGGGCCTGTGGCCCCCGAGCCGAGCCGGGAGGTGGAGGGCACCCTGCCAGGTGCCTGCGGCTGATGTCACTTCCCTGAGCTGGTGGCATGGGGGAGGGGTTGTGGGAAAGGAGGTGGTGGTGCTGGGACAGGGGCAGCCACAGCCTCGGCCAGGGGGACGGGCATCATTTCCTGTCATCGCCCTCCACCTCCCCTCGGGGGCCTGCTAGACGGTGGCTCCCTGGGTTCCCAGCCTGCCCCCCAGACCTCCGCCGGTGCCCAGTGCCCGGGGAGAGGTGAGGGCTCCCCAACCGCAGGGTTAATGATTAGCCCAGGCACCATTTCCAACACTGCAGGCACCGGTGGACTTGATCCTGGTGGTTTCCAGGAGCACCAGCCGGCCCTGCACCCTCCCCTGCTGGTGCTGCCCCCCCCCCGCCTTCCTGGGATGCGGGGGAAGTTGGGGAGGGTGATCAGGGCCCTGTCCCCCTAGGAAATCTTAGGACCCAGTGGGGGACACAGATCTGAATCAGGTGGACATGTGCCAACCTAGGAAGGCTTCCCGGAGGCGGCGACGTGGGCGAAGGAGTACAGAATGAGTTTATGGCCTGGGGTTCAGCGTGTGGCAGGGCTGAGGCGGGACAGAGTGCGTGCCTGGCAGCCATGGGTGCCGTGGGCACCCCCGGGCGAGTATCAGATATTTACATGACGATTCATAACAGTAGCAACATGACAGTTATGAAGTAGCAACGACAATAATTTTATGGTTGGGTCTCAACATGAGGAACTGTATTTAAAGGGCCAGAAGGTTGAGAACCACTGCTCCAGACCCTGCACCTGGTCCCCAGGTGGGAAGGTGTGAAGGGCAGCGGGGGAGGACCCCGAGGATGGCATGGAACGGGGTGGGCTGCCTGGGAGGGGCACGGGCACCTTCTGGGGGGCGGAGCTCTGGGCCTGGGTGGTGCTGAGAGGGAGGCGCACTTGCCCCACCCCGACCCCCGTGTGCATGCAGGAGATCAGGGCCCTGTCCCCCTAGGAAATCTTAGGACCCAGTGGGGGACACAGATCTGAATCAGGTGGACATGTGCCAACCTAGGAAGGCTTCCCGGAGGCGGCAACACGTGGGCGAAGGAGTACAGAATGAGTTTATGGCCTGGGGTTCAGCGTGTGGCAGGGCTGAGGCGGGACAGAGTGCGTGCCTGGCAGCCATGGGTGCTGTGGGCACCCCCGGGCGAGGTGGTAAGGCAGGCCCCCCGGGAGCTCGCCCTTGGGAAAGGGGGCATGGGCCCCTCTCAGGATGCTTGTCTCCCTGCGCACAGGTGCCCATCGTCCCCGTGGTGTACTCCAGCTTCTCCTCCTTCTACAACCCCAGGACCAAGCTCTTCACCTCAGG